CTGCTGTCAAAACACAGTGCTCTTCCCTCCACACTCCTGTCAACAAGCATCAAAGTATTCTGTCCCCCTGTAAGAAAACATAAGTAAATTCACAAATAATCAAAGCGGAATACAAAGAGCAGGTCAGTCTGAGGGTGAGAGAAAGGGTTAAAAGATTAAAAGTGAAAAATAAAACAACAAAATAAGGTCAGAAGGATCTCATACAACAAAGGATTGATTACTTCAGCTCACAGTCGTCTTAAGAAGTGAAAAGAAACATTAAAGGGTTTCATAGTGTTCACCCCTTCCAAGAACACAGGATCATCCCTTATGTTCTGGTGAACTTCTCTGCCATCTGCACCAAGGTGAACAGATTCTTTCTTACAGCTTGGCAACTTTAGACACTGAGGGTTACAGAAGGCAAGGCTCCACCATTGTCACAATTTGAGAGGTCACTATTGCCATCTTTACTTTCACAATCTGTGATTGCTAATGCGGTCCACTGCAGCAGATTAGCCATTTGAGACAGTTCTGGAGAGTCAAGGTTTTTTTTCAATTTCTTCCTTCTTGGAGAGGAGGCTGGGGATGAATCCATTTTCTTTTGTGCTGCTGCCATCCACACACTTCAGAAGTAAAAGTCCACACAAATAAAAGGAGGAGACAACAAAAAAAAAAAATTAAAAAGGGTTGGTCATGTCACGCTGTTGTACTGGAATGCTGGTGAAGCGATGTGTTCATTGTGCTAATCATCCCTTAATTCTTCTTCTTCTTACATCTATACTTGTATAACTAACACATTTATAACACATTTATCTTTGTATTTTTTCCCCGCAGTTGTCTACAAGATTTAAAAAATGTGTCCATAACACCTAGGTCTACTGTATGATTACCTTCAAGCCCTTTAAAGATTGAATCCACTCTTGAGCTCACTAGTATTTATGTTGGATCATTGCTGGGGGTCATTTCAGGCAATGCTATCTGGGCACCAACATGGACTTGGTTGATGCTTTTCTTGCTCCTACTAGGGAATCTTTTACTTTGAAGATTCAAATTAATATTTGTCTGACTTTACAGTATGTATCTGATTTATTCGCCATCTCAGTTTTTGCATTTTCAATGTAATATGCATAGTATTTCTTCTGAACACAATGCTTTTGCTCGTACGTAAGGCCTACGGTACTGGCTCAAATGTCTGTGCAGAGCATTGTGTGACAGCTTTATTTACATACAGTACTGTAGTTCAACTGTTCTGTTTCAATTGTACAGCCAGTCATCCTAAAGTACAATAAAATGTTTGCAAAGTCTGTTTCAAATATTGCATCAGCTTTACTATTTAAATTAATTTATTAATGAGAAGTGTCTTGACTTAAGATTGTCTGAATAATCATATACAGTAACCTTTTTATCTTGATATAATCTTGATATAAACAGAATGCTTTTTTTGTTAACTCTGGTTCTTTTCCTCTGGTTGCCTTTGTTTAGAGAATTCTTGCTCTTGTGGTTGAGGGGTTGGGCTGGTAGTTGTACATTGACATAACAGGGCTCTGAGGCCATTGCCTGTACCAGATTTTAAATTCTTTGACTGCAGGTTGCTGAAATTATTTATATCTTTACTCTAGCAAACATGCTTGTATGTAGACCATCCAAGGAGAATTTATTTTTTGTTCTTTTGCTACTGCTGGAGTCTGAGTTTACAAGGGGAGATGGGGAGATTTTGGGATATCCATGCTGATTCTCCTCACTCTTCTTTTTTGGCATTATTATGTTATTTTCTAAATTGTTTTGGCTTTAATTGGTGGATGTTTTCCCCTAACAGCAAAGATCACATAGATCACGTGTTATCCTTCGGATGAGACGTAAAACCGAGGTCCTGACTCTCTGTGGTCATTAAAAATCCCAGGGTGTTTCTTGAAAAGAGTAGGGGTGTTACCCCGGTATCCTGGCCAAATTTCCTAATCATGGCCTCCTAATAATCTCCATCTATGTATTGGCTTCATTACTCTGTTCTCCTCCCCACTGATAGCTGATGTTTCGTGAGCGTTCTGGCGCGCTATGGCTGCTGTCGCATCATCTAGGTGGATGCTGCACATTGGTGGTGGTGGAGGGGAGTCTCCATTACGTGTAAAGCACTTTGAGTGGAGTGTCCAGAAAAGCGCTATATACGTGTAAGCAATTATTATTATTATTATTATTAGGAACTTCGAGCTGGTTACTCAGATCATCTAACCATTTGCTTTGATCTGTAGGTTCTAGTATGTACTTACTATCATTTGCATATTAAGTAAGTTCTGCAACATCAAGTGTTTGAAGCAGATATATTTTTCCCAGTTTACATTCTCCTATCGGTGGTCCTCAGCCAATTAGTATTAAGGGGCTCCATTGTGTTTTACAAATACACCATTGGTGAAATTGTATATTGATTTAGCTCCGATTTTATCACCAGCGAAAAACTGACAAGTCTCATTTACATGTCATTACCTCTTGTAACAGCCATCTTTCTTTCATGAAATCTCTTGGACATAATCCTGAACGTAGATAGAGGGTTCCTGTTGTATCTGTTCATTTACTTGCCTTCAAGCAATGTACTGACTGCTGCCAGGTCAGCGTTTTTTGGGAAGCTAATAGAAGAGGGGAAAAGTAATCCTAGCACCCTTTTTTCCACAATTCATCATCTCTTAAATCTAGTTAAGAACACCACTCTTGAAGTATCTACAGACCAATGCAATTGATTTTCTGAATTTCTCATTCTTAAAATTGATAACATCAGAAGTCATTCAATCAGAAGGTGGTGTCTTGTGACTGCACTTTGAAATTCAGTTTCAAGTTTAGTCTCAAGCATCTCAGTTTTTAGAGTTCCATGCAGTCTGTCCTCAGCACTATCTAAAATGGGAAAAAAAACATAGCACAGATTCCTTGATTCCAATTCCGTGTGTCTTGGTTTGTTTACATTGTGTAATCCTGTGTCCTGTAATCTTATATCTTTCGTTCTGGCTGGTCCTTTGTAGTAATCCCAATTATTAACCAATGTTACCAACTTGAACAGAAATTCTTTACTCTGTCTTCTCTCTTGGAGAGGTATCAGCGGCACCACTGGGGACATGGTCTGCTCTAATGAAATGTGTGGCTCCTCCAGCTGTCAGCACTTGTGGTGTTAGCTGATCCTGTCATCTGCTTCTTGGGGACGTTCTGTCTACCATGGGTGCAGCCTCCATTTTGCAACGAGAGACACAACCCGTTTTGTTGAGACAGACAGGATTCTAGTGTGCCCACATGCCTTTGAGGTGTCTGGACATGCGGTGCTACCAATTTGTGGGGGGAGGAAATGGGTGTTCACACCCCCTTGGTGCCCAGGTCAGTCATGTTCATGGGGACAGGGCCTGAAAGTATTTATTACATATTATTATTATTATTATTATTATTATTATTATTATTATTATTATTATTATGAACACAAACATAGCTAAGTGTTCTGCTTTTGCTTTTGCAGTCCAGTCCTTGGAGCCACTGTGAGATTTAATTTAACTGGTGGTACCTGTACAGGGAGAATTATGAAAGATAAGAGCTGAATTGGACCAGTGGTGGGAATAACTTAAGAGTCAACTTTAGATGATTGAGCAAAGAGCAGTCTTATATTATAGTACCAGAAATAGCTAAATACTGTATTACTGTACTTGCTTAAAAGAAAGATCACAGAATATTATCACAGTAAAATACCCAATTGCTTCTGACTTGATTTATTTTTCTCACCTGTCTTTAAAACTGTAAATGTGGTCCTTTATTTTCTTGAGTGATAAGGGATATCAGTACACAGAATGAAAGAAATCAAATGGAGCAAATAACCCTTGGTTTTGGAATGAATACAATCCTTGTACCAGTTCCAACATGTAACTGGATGCCTAAACAAATATGAATACAGAACTTGCAACATTGAGGTATAAATACTGTGTACTGAAGTATTTTGATCCAGCTGTAATGTACCAAAGGGTTGAAGTATTATAGAATGTCTCCCAATCAATGAAAATAATAAAATTTGTTAAATCAAGGAATCACTTGGCAGAGTAAGACTGGGTGCTCTAAGCAACTATAACATGGATTTTGTCGAATCTTATCTTCAGTGTGGATGTGTGGTACGAGGTGCTTCATAATAAACTTTAGAAGGTACCTTCTGTAGGTTGTCTGAAAATAAAAGGTGAATCTCTGTGGATTTTATCCCATACTGCCTTTATCGTTAAAAATTGGTAAACAACTAAAATGTTCACAGAAATTAGAAAGAAAAAATTTGAGACAGTTAATGTACCATTCCTCTTTCTTATCCACGGAGTAGACTAGTCTCCCACCCTGCCAGAGTTCGTTTGTGAGCTTCCTTCATTGATGAAGTTTCCGTGCTGTAAATAAGCAGAGAAACATCTTTTACAACCCAAGGCAAGGTTTTGTCTTTTAACAGTGCAGAAGTGGCTTTGGCTTTTTGTCTGTATCATTCCTGCAGATAGCCTTCACAGTCCCCCTCCGTGGGCAGAGCTGTGAAGCCAGGGGAGATGTCATCAATGTGGGCTGAATTCTACATTGTCAAATATTGTTGTTTTCGGTTTCTCTCGTTGCCCAAAGGGGATCGAGCTGTGAAGGTTAACCGGCTATAAACCCAAAGCAGAGATGTTTTTTTTTTTTTAAAGAAGCAGAGTAAACGGCTATACTCCTTTGCGCCATTAATATAAGTTTTGCTCTGTGTTGTTCTCTGTGTTAACTTTTTTTTGTACACACCACTAATGCTATTATTTTGCAGAGCATTGCCATATACAGTATCATGTATATCCCTAGTTTTCATGTCCCACCCTGAGATTTCTAATCCTGTTATGAGAAAAATAAATTAAAAATGCTACTTTTTATTGCATGGCAAACCGTATTTTATTTTCTCATCTTAAAAACCAGGAAGTAAAATGCTGTTTGCAGTGGAATTCCCCACCTAAAAGAAAACAATTAAGGTGATACATTTTTTCCTCTTTTTTTTTCTTTTGTTCTTTCAGAATGCTTCTAATGAGATAGCAAAGCACACATCTGCCAGTAAAGCCTTGAGAGCAGACTTGCAGGAGAAGGAAGAGCAGATCGGGGAACTGCAAGAGAAGTATGTCTGGTTATTTGTTGTGTTTGATGCCACCGTGTGGCAGCTCCGTCTCTGAGTTTTTGAAGCAGAACAAGAGTGGCATTTCAGATGAGAAGAGCTTTAGAGAAAATTAAAATCCAGTACAACCCACCTACATTATGTAGTACGCGTTCCACACGAATGTCATACTGTGGTGAAAATATCTTCAGAGAAAATAACTTTAATAGGTATATGAAGGCACCCACGTCTTAATCCTTCTTAGCCTTTCCATGAGCAAGAAACAAAACGTGGGTGAACTTGAAAACACAAAGTGTTGATCACTGACTGATCAAAATGATTAATAGTGTTCAGTCCTGCTATAAAGACAAGAGTTTGGTTTCCAACCTTTTTTTTTTCACTGCAAAACACTTGACTTGATGGATATTTGTTTTCCTGACATACAGTAGGTGCCATCTACCAAGATGAGTACTGGAAATTGTGGAATATTGAAGTAAAAAAAGCTAGTTCTGCTTCTACTGCAAGACTTCAGGTGTCTAAAAACAGGAGAACAGCACAATGGTGTGAGGGGTAGCTGCATACAATTCTGCTTTCTCTCATTTATATACTGCACTTGTCACTGTGATTCTCGACCCCACCAGATCTTATGCATTCTTGTAAATTCCAAATTACACCATGATACAAACCTTATGTTTCCTCTTTTGACCCTGGATAAATAATGTATTTTAAAATCATGAAATCGTTATATCCTTCTTTCTCAATAATATATTTGCTATGCAGTGAAAAAACATTGTAATAAAGAATGGAGGTTTCCTTAATGACAGGTTAGCTGTGACTCGTTATTCTTGCCATGCAGGTTAGCGTAATAATGTATTAAAAAAATTCTTAAAGTACAGTCCTTAGCTTAAAGGTCAGACTGCTAGTTATGCTTAAATTAAAGCAATTCTAGTTACAGTTATATAACTTTAAATTAAATTGTCACAATTAAGAGAGATCCATCAATACAATCAGTCATTGCTTTGAAAGGGCCAAGTAACGTGTTCTGTATGCTAGATGTATGAAGGGTTGGCTTGTAACAGCAGTAAAGGACCAGAGCACAACATGTTGAAAACTGTTTCTTGTAGGCTAGGTGGCTGCAAAAAAAATCATAAATTGTTAGTTAAACAAACCAGTCACTTCATTCTTATGAATTCAAGATCTGAAACATAATCCCTAAATGCTCAATTTACTGTCCTTATCCAGTTGTTTAAAATATTTTGAGAGTGTTCAGTTGCATGGGTTATACTGTAATTAAATGCTTGTTAAAATATATCACAAGACCATCATAATGTGTGTGCGCTACTAAAGGCAAGCAGTTGATATGGTTGATTTCTAATTTCCTTTTTTTTTTACTGGAGGATGCATAGCCCTACAACTGGAGTGCTCTGCTCTATATCCTACATATAGTAGGATATAGTCAAAGTCTATATCCTACTTACTGTATATCAGAAAAGAATCTTATTAACAAATTCATCTTTACCACTTAAATTCTGTGTATTCATGTGTATGCTGCAGTAAGAATGTAGAACCAGGGATTTCACACAATCCTGAAATATTTAAGTACTGTACGTGAAATCCCTGGTGAAATGTTTTAGGATTAAATCCCTGATTTCACTTTCTTAGTGTGCCATGTATGACTGTATGTATTTGTGGGTGTGTAGATTCATTTATTCCCACCTCCCAGGCTGTGGAGGTCAATGGCCATTTGTCTTTTGTCTTCTGAGAACTCTCTGACCTTAACCATGATGATGCATGAATGTCTTCCCTGTATTACCTTCTTTTCTACCAGAGGGAAATAGGACCCCTTTGAAGGCCTCTGTATTCTGGAACTTTGTGAAGTCTTCCATTGCCCTTGCAAAAAGCACAGTTGCCTTACATATATTTTTGAAAATTATATCTACAATTATATTTAAAAGTGTGAATAAATGTGACACCCCTGTATTTTGAATTTCAATTAATTATTTTGTAAGCAGGATGTTATGTAGTCTGTAACATAAGTCTGTCAGTAATATTGTTTTCCTTTTTCCAGATTTATTCATGAGTATGATTAAATAAGGAAGGTGCTGTATTTGTACAGTATAAACGATCTGTCATTTCAGAGTGCTCACTGAGTATTATTAAATTAGCTCTTATAGAAAATGCAGGATTTGTTTTTTTATTTAGTATTGAGCTCACATTGACGTGTCCCACTGGAACTTTAAATCTATTTTGTAAATAAAAAAAATACTCCATTTTCATTTTTCTCCCCACAATCACTAACATAGCACTGGCAGGTTATGCTCTGAAAATTAAAAGTTTCAGCAGGGCTTTTATAGTAAGTATAGAACCGATGAACAACTGTGCAAGAGTCAGTCCACATCTGGACATTTTGATGTAGACAAAAATGCATGTTTGAAGGCAGCTAGTATTGTTTGGTACCTTGGTAATATGGTATTACACTGGTGTAATAGACAATTAGCACAGTAAACAAATACACTTAGTCCATACAGAAAGACAAGATATTATATATCTTATTTTTTGTATTAAATTTCAGTCCCTGTGTGGAATTTAGCCTGATGGCTGTGACCTAATTTTTTTTAATTGACCAATTAATATAAAGTGAGACAGGGATAGATTATACAGGAAAAATGTTCTAAACACCCCTAAGTGCTTGGCAGAATCCAGGATGTATTTTGTGATGGTTTATCCAACTGGTATATAAATGTATTAATTAGAAACCACGGTTGGGGCAGTGCAATGATTTGTCAATATATTGTTCAATATCAATAGTCATACCTGTGCTTTTTCTGGAAAGATTTTAGATTTCCTAGAATTGGAGATTTGTCTTCAACAACGTGTCTCTGCTTGTGGCTGAGAATCTATTATTTGAGATGCTGTTTTTTTAAACAAGAATAATTTAGAGAGTGTCATTACTGTGGTCATTCACTAGCAATGCTGCACTGAGATTCACAGTTCCACTTGCATTGCTTTGTTGTGGTTGTTTTCTTTTACACTTCCACAACGTGGATTAAACAATATATTGAAGTGTTGGAAAATAATATTTCAGTAGTTAAATAGTTAAAACATTGGTGTTTCTGTATGTCCTATTCGTTAACTCAATTTTCAAGTAGATCTATTCATTCGAATTAAAAAGGTAAAAATATATATAATTAAGTGATTAGTTCTCTATTCCTGTCTTTGTGCATTTGCATTTTATTATAATATTACATTTAGATTATTCCAAAACTTCAGAGACTATACTGTACTTCACATCTGAAATATACACTGTATATTAAAAAAAATATTGGAAACATATCGTTTTTGTAAAATTTCATAAATATAAAATCTTATTTGTTGATTATTTAGAAGGTAGAGGTCGTTTTAATCATACTAATGATATAACTGTTAAGCAGAAGCAAGTAATAAGTAGTAGAAAAGAAAAACATTTTTAAGAAGAGTATTAAAGTGCACATAGAGAAGGTTAGCTTCTTTTAAAATAGATTTCAAAGTGCACTAAGGCTTCTTTAGTCAATATCTACTGCCAAAGCTGTGCTTTATTTATGAACAAAACCATATTTCATTCGCCCTCTTGTCATAGCTTGGTTTCTTTGATCTCCAGTCTGTTGTCTTTTTAAATTTTAAATTCTTTGTTTTTACTTTATTTCCATTCAGTGTCATTCATGTCATAACATTTCCTTTATTCACCTTTTTGAATTATGTGAAATACAGTATTCAGTATTTGTAAAGTTAACATATTCAGGCTGTATAAAGTATGTATATGTTCCAATATTATACACAATAGATGTAGATTTGTAGAACGCAAATACAAGAAAAATTGAAAGTACAAAATACAAAACAAATAATACAATACAAAAAAAATCTTCAGGAGCAAAAACATCCAGATTAAATATTAGAGAATGTTTAGATGTTTAGATAAAATTCACAACCTCTCCTTTCGATCTAAAAGCATTGCTCAAGCCAATAATGTGTTTTCCCTTACTGTTTTGCACTCATTGGGTCAAATGACTACTTTTTCAAAAAATTAGGATCAGAGGTCCAGTGACTCATTGCCTTTAATATGATACATTTATTCACACGTGCTAATTGAATAGAAAAGAATGCCGCATTGGTTCGTAGAATTTTTTATGTCAATGGACACTATATTAATGCTTATATTAATGCTTAGCAAGCTCTCCAGGGAAAGCCTTAAGGTATCACAACTTCTATGTTGAAAAACATGAAAAATTATGAATTAACAAGGTTATTGTCATTTGAAGTCCCACGGTTTATGCCATTTTATCCTTCCTCTTTTGTTAAATTGTTTGAAAATCATGTTTGGTACTGGCATTAGCATTCTTTCATAAGAGGAAGAAGCACTTGACAGTGCCTGTGAACGCAGGTAGGATATTGCCAGAGTCTTGAGTAAATAGAGGAGCCAGCTTTGCTCCATATGAGCTCTAAAGGTTCAATAAGTTTTTCTCATTAATGCTAAAATCCATTGGGTAACCAGGGTTCAGTCCCCTGGGCTAACCTCTCACATTTACTTAATGTCACTCTGGTAAGAGAATCTCACATTCTAATGGCATCATTCATTTTACAAAGTGTTTTACTCACATTCAGCCTGGGAAACAGAGATCTTTATATGTTTAGACATAAATAAACATATGTATTTATTGTTGACTCAAATGTGAGCTTTACAGAATGCAGCAGTCTATTTGTCTGCATCTGCATGTACATAAAATCAATGCTTGTCCAAAAAACCTAGCTTTTTTCAAGTGAAAGCAGCTGCATTTTTTAAAAGATGTGTAAACAGGTACATCCTTTAATGTTCTTTAAGTGACTTGAGTACAAGAATATTAATCAGACACGCTGCTGCAGTTTGAAATTTGAAGTGACGTTCTGTACATGTTAAACACATCTAGATAGTTGCGCAGGGACTGAATTCTCTGTTGTAATCTTTTAAAGTTGTGAAATGCCGAACAATACTTAAGCAGGCATTCGAGTGTTTTGGATTTGATGACTTTTAGAATATTAACATGTAACAAATTGTGTGGGGAGAATTCAGAAACAGCGAATGTTATCCCTTCTTATTGGCCAAGATCCAGGAAATGGTAGTTTCATATTCAAATATTTATTTTTAGTTATTAGCAGTTTCTCTTTCATTAGTGAAGTGTTAAGGCCACAGTTGTGGAATGTGTTTTGAGTACCTCATAACCTTTATTCACAGGATTTTCAGCATATATAATATTTGTGTTGCTCTAACACATCTTGATAAATTTAATGATAATCAATGCTTACAGTATATGGTATGAATTATCCTTTAATAATTGTTTAGAGTAAAAGAACATGGTTATTCAAGTTTTACAAACTATCTCTGTACAGTATATGAAATACTGTATGTAATGAGTTTAAAAAATAAAAACTATCATGTACTATTATTTTTTGGATTGTAAATCCTATTTTAACACATTTTTATACAAATCTTGGTCATTTTCTACATGAATCCACATTGTTATCATGCATTTTTTTAAATTATATATTCTGCATTTTAATGAGTGTATTATTTTCATCTGTTGAACAAATATCTATTGCAGTGAAGGAAATTAAAATATGACAGCCGACAAGTTTTAGTAATATATTTTTATTCTCTTAGGGTTTCTCGTACGGAAAGAGACATCAACATGAAGAGGCAGCTAATTGAAGATCTGAAATCCAGATTAAAGTTACTTCAGGAAAATGAAAAGACCCACAAAGACCTCATAGAAGAATTGGAGAAAAAAGTGTGTCACTCTTTTTTTTTTTGAAATATGACTTCCTAGTGACTAGTGAATGGCTTCATTATGACATACTATTCCGAATAACTAATTTGCCTCTTTTGGGACTCCTGTGGTAAACTTAAAAAAAATACAGATTTGTTCAGATATTATGAAACTTGTCTGTGCCATTAAGATTTTTGTATGGAAAATTAATACTTCATAGTTAATGTCTCTACAACCAGCTTACTGAAGCTCACCTGGATGAATAAGCTAATGTTATTTTTTTTAATAGCTAAGTGATGATTTCCCAAATTGATCAGATTGATATGAAGGGGGACTGGAGGCCATCAGAAAATAGGTGCCAGAAACGAAATAGGGAGAAAGGACAACCATCCATCCATTTTCTAACTGCTTCATCCATTTCAGAGCTGTAGGGAGGCTGGAGAATAACCCAGCAAACAATGGGATAGTTACTCCCTGGATGTGATGCCCGTCCATCACAGGGTACACACACAGCCACAAGCACACTCATATCTCCAAGTCGGAACCCATTCAGACATGGTTAGAACATGCAGATAGCAACCCAGGCCTAGAACTGAACCCATGAGCCCAGAGCTGCGAGGCAGTAATGCTAATCACTGTGCCACCATGTCACCACAAATGCACAACCAGTAACTGTTAATTGGAAGTCTTTTAAAGGAGGTAAGGGCAGGCAGTCTGGTTGAGGACCTGCAAGATCAAGGCATGTTGGTTTACAGACTCACTAAAGGTTATGGGTCAGTCAGTTTACAGACTTGTTAAAGGTTATAGCTCAGCCGGTTTAGACGCACTAAAGCTTATAGCTCAGTTGGTTTACCAAGTCACTGAGGGTTATCATTTATTTGTGAAAATCCCTGGACTGGTTTCTGACATCGGCTAATCCTCCATAGAAGGACTATTGCAGAATAGTTCCAGCACTGGGGATGCTTGTGCACCGAAAATCATTATGACTTAGAGCTGAGATCACAGAACTTAAAAAGACCAGCTGTCTTTTTAGCTAAGCGAAACACTGGTTGATATATAGATTTCATATGATTGATGATTGATTATTTTAGATCAGACTTTACAGGGGTCATTAGGAGGCTGTTATGAATGCAGATCTTCAGTAGTTTTTCAGTGGTTATTCTTTAGTTGACACTACATTCATGCACCAGGGATAACTGGAAACTGAACTGCCCGTTTCTACCATTTTATTTGATCTTGATTAGTTCTGTGAATTCTGTGAACACTGTAAAAGTGTACAGTATACCAAATTATCCAATATTCTCTTTACAAGAAGGTTGTATTAATTTCTATATGCAGTTGACAGTGTTTTCAATTAAATTGAATAGCATTGAAGTAAAATATAAGCCATTTAAAACAAATGCTGAAAGTTTTGGGTTCAAGTCAAATGAGGCAGGTTTACTTTATCTGTTAGTACAAGATACTTTTCTGTTCTGAATAAATATAGCTTTGCTCTTAATTTCTCAATGGGAATGAAACCACCCCCCTGCCTGTGGTAAAGGCATTATGTGTTCTGAGCCATTTTGCCTTCTGTGAATCCCACAACTCATATCACACACAGGAGAGAGGGGAGTAGAATCATAACACTTTTCTGAAGCATGTGTGATCACCTCAATGCAAAGCACAGCATCTTTTTTGAAGTAAAACGAACTAGATGGTTGTAAAGTTGTTTTAATTAACCTTTTCCTCCTGCATCCAATAAAAAAATGGCCCCATTTTCTTTAACAATTGAAAGTAATCATAATACTAGTTTTCACTATTGGGGGATGTTTGTGTTGGTAAAAGTTAGATTTTTTTCCCATTTTTATTGCATTTTCATTGTAGTGGCAAGGGTCAGATAACTGTAAATGCTAAAAAAAAAAGTGAAAGCATCTTCAAACTCAACCAGAACTGGAATCAGCTTCATCCCAGGATTGCTCTTTTTAATTGAATAGGTGAAGACTCTGTCTGAAGATGCATCCAACAGAAAGACCTTCATTGATTCCCTGAAGCAGAGGCTCAACGTAGTCACCAAAGAAAAGAATCAACATGACATGACCTGTCTCAAGCTGAGGGAAGAGCTAGAAAAGAAGGTAAGCTTCTTATATTTTTGTTAAACTTCTTAATTTCTGATTCTGTGCTTTTCCTTAATTTGATGTTTTCCACACCAATGTCTGATGCAACCTGTGATCAGCCAGAGAAAACTGCTATGTTCCGTGGGCCATCTGATGGTACCATGAAACCAGAACATCATTGCAACCAGTGGATTTTGTAGTCTATTTTAAAGACTTTTTGAACAAAAATACATTTCTCCACCATTAGATCTAAACTTGCCGGTAGGTTAATAGTGCGTTTCTCACATGATAATAGGGTCTTAAGGGAGATCTACTGGAGTGTGTTTCTCAAAGGGATCCTTCTCTTGATTTACACCACAGAACCAGAAAGTGCAGGACCTGCAATCCAGGGTGGCAGAGTCTGAGATTGCCCTGACAGAGCTGGAGGAGACAGCCTCGCAGCAGATGCACGGGCTGGCCTTGCAGAGCGGACAGGCCCTGGAGGGTGTGCAGAGGAAACTGGGGCTCGCCAACAGACAGCTGGAGGAGCTGGTCAGCTTCATCAAGGTATGCCAAGGCTGTATTTTATCAACAAAGGAGAATAAAAAATAATGTTACTGCTGCTGAGATAACACCAGTGGTATTTAGTCTTTTTCCAGCTGTTCTTATTTCTGTATGGGTAATTCATTGATCTGATTTTTTTTGTGCACTATTTAACCAAGTAAATATTTTTTTATCATGTCATGTGCATTAATAAAGGGATTAATAAATTGGTTAAAGCCACCAGATTAATATACTGTAACTGTAATTTACTGCTAAATTTGTTCATTTTGTGACAAAAAAGTAAAGCTAAAGAGCTTTAGAAGGCTATCATAAAATTAGTAATATTGTAAGGGAAAAACAATGCACATCCCAATTGAGGGAATATAGGCAGTGGTCTGCCTCTCACAATTTATTGTGAAAATTGACTGGTTTGTCTCGGCGTGCTACTGCAGACTCAACTAAGCAGGCGTCTGGTTATGTCAGATAAAGACTTGCCAGGCTGCATCCTGTCCTCTATTGCTCCATAGCTGGGTGACATCTACTAATTAGCTTTGCTAGTTGAAAAAAAAATGAAAGTAAAAAAAAAAAACTGAAGGTATAAATGACATTTAAAGAGATAGCAGCACATCATTCCAGCACAAATTGTGGCGCCAATTTATGGGATTTTAATTACATTATTTTCTATTGTATTCAGGGCAGACAGCAAAATCACGATAGCATACATTTTCAGGTTTTATTAAATGACCCAATGTAATAGGATATTTTTTAAACTCAACATTTTATCAAGCATCTGTTTGAAACATTTTCTGAAGAGAGAAAAAAACACATTTCATATTTTTATGTTTAAAATCATCAGGTCCAATAAATCTTTTTGACAAACTCTCAGCTGTATACAGTTGGCATATTTCGCTTTTTTGTTTCCTGTGGACTTTCAAGATTTCATTTTTGACAGAGCTGAAATTCACTGAAAACTCCTACAGGTAATAGAGATATGTCTCTGTTCAAAACTGATGATTTGAGAACCTTAAAGTTCTGTCTTTTCTGTCTAGCTTAGGACTGTTGTGTCAGCTATTGTTGCGTGTTTTTGTTTCTCTAAAGGAGAGTACTAAAAAATTTACATTGTTTGTTCTGCCTTTATCTTAACTGCATGGTTCAGGCCTTTTTTAAGACTACTACTTCTGTCTGATATCCTATTATGACAGCCCCAAGATAAGTTTCTTTTCTTTTTGTTCTTAGTGTAGCTGTTGCAGCGGGAGTGGTAACACCTGATGATGGAAACAGTGATACACATGTGGCTTGTTTTCTACCGTTGGTTATGCCTAATGGCACATCACTAAGTTGATTAAACTGAGGCTTTAAAACAAAACTGTTCATCCAGCCAGAGTGTAATTAACTAAGTGCCAGCATGACATATTGGTAGAATATTGGTGGTAATATTGGTATGTAAGACATGTCTTGCATGCACTTCCATATACTGTATAATAATGCATCATAGGGTCACAGCAACCTTAAACCGTGTGTCAGTATCTCATTCTGCGTGTACTTAATGTTATTTACATTTTAAATAAGATTGTTGAAGAATCTGTAGATATAGCTATTCATAAAGACAGGATTTACAAAAAAAGTGAAAGACATACCCATGTCTGAATAATAAAGATCACCTGGTTTCTGTTGTTAGGTATGGAAGGTGACCTATCTGTGAGAGATGGAGTATGAAATGTTCTGCTTCAGAAATCAGCATATTAGTCCAGATGAGCAGGAACCAGCTCTCTGAGGGACAGGCCATGTCAGCCTCATTTTCAGGCTGCAATGGCTACAGCATGAGAACTTCCAGGAAATAAAGAGCCAAGCCATCAGAAGAATGACTGTGGCCCACAGTCTGTATAATAATTATCTGGATGCTTGGAGGCTATTGAGGAGTAAAGTTGACAGCGGAGATATGAAGCTACCCATCTTGTTCCAAAGAACATTTCAGGTGGTGGCAGAGAAAGTGGTGGAGTGTTTTACTCAAGACACAATACCATTTCGCCTTTGACATCCTAAAGCAGGCTACCATGTAAGGAGGGATGTTTTTGGTGGTTTTGGTAAGCGGTATGCTGACTGTTTTGTTGTTCAAGCAGTGAAAGTGTGATGATCTGAGCAGTGACTTCCTTTAACTGTTTCACACAAGAATGTTCTCGCTGCAACTTGCAGGCAGTCTTACTGCTCACTGATTATGAGACAGCATTTTTTCCGTTCCTACAAGTCAATGCAGAAATGTCGGTTTTCCAGCAGAATCCAATAGAATATCTGTGGGACCAACTCACCAACGCCTTTAACGGGAGACAACTGCAACTGAGTAAACTTCACTAGCTGGCAAAAACTGCACAGGAACGGTGGCTGAACATTCAATAAACATTCCTCCAGATTCTGATCAGGCCTATGCTTCAATGCTACTGTTATTGTGTTAATGCTAAGGAAGGTCATACTCAATACTAACTTCACATTGACATGTAGTATGTTACACATCACAATAAAATAGATTATCATATTTACATCTGTAATTTTGTTCACATTTCTCTAATTTGGTTTGACAGAAATGTTATACACGAGTAGACCCACCAGGTCCATTGGTATTGATCCTGGGTCTCATCTGGCCACTTCTTGAAGGAAACCACATGTATCAACCACATGTCTGAATAGCTTGTGCCATACACCCAAAACCGTCTGAGTAAAGAAGAGCTCGCTGTTTTCGGTTTAAAATGCACTTCAACATATTTTCGGTTTGTGTCCTGAGGTTCATGTTTCACTAGAATAAATCCTCTGTGTCAGTGCCCTAGACCAGTGGTTCTCAAACTTCTTGGACCAAGTACCACCCCTGATCAAACCAAAGCATCCAAGTACCACCTACAAGTCATCTTCTCATAGGAACCCTAGAAAATCTAAATGATCATCATGAGCACACTCACATACACATATAATAAATATTATAATAAACTTTATTTGTTGTAGTGCCTATAAAGGTGGCTTCTCAAAGCGCTTTACAGAATAACAGGAACAACAACAATTAAAAATAATTAAAAAAGCACAATTTCAGTGAGAGGGGTGAGACTGTTTAGTCGAGCAAAGCAGATGTGAATTCATTGGTCAAGCCTTGATACAATTCACAACAGTTTCTAACAGATTTTAAATCGTCAGGCATTTTCTTGAAATGCATCCACTTCCTATCTGGAGTACCCTGTCTAATTCAGTCAACTATACCGTTATGTTGGCTTGTCATCTCTTTAGCACCATCTGTACAAACTCAGACGCATTTTATCCAGTCGATGCCACTCTCTTCGATAAATTCATTCAGAAGCTGAAATATGTGCTCTCCTGTAGTTCCTGTTGGTAGGGGCTTACAGAACAGAGTCCTCGTGTGACGTACCCTCAAACTCGTATCTAACGTTAACGAGCAAATTGGCCAAAACAACGACATCTACAGACTCATCTTATTGCAGTAAAAAGTATTTGCTCATCTTAACGCAGCACGCATTCGTAGCATGCATTCCTGTATAATGGTATAGAATTACATAGTAGCTCTTGTGTCCACTCAAGTATTAGTGCGTGCTGTATCGTAGTACGTAGGCTGCGTATTTGACACAAACTAATTTTATTAAAATAGAAAACCTGTCCCAATTTTTCAGTGCACACAACAAAGTTCTAGGGTCATATGGGGTACCACCTGGCAGCGCCAGGTACCACAAGTGGTACGCGTACCATAGCTTGAGAACCACTGCCGTAGATGATTCTGAGTACTTGTATCAGGTCCCCTCATAGTCTTCTGTGTTCAGCACTAAAAAGGTTCAGATCCTTCAACCTGTCACTGTAGGACATTTCTTGAAGACCCAGAAAGCTTCTAGTTGCCCTTCCTCTGGACTGACTCCAGAGCTGCAATATTTTTTTAACGTTCTGACCGAAATTGAACACATTATTCTATATAAGGCTTAGCTAGTGCACTGTAAATTTTTTAACATCATGATTTGATTTGAATTCTACACAAGAATTCTAAATATTTTATTCAATCCATTAGATCTGGGTGTTAAGGTTCTTTTATGAATCAGTAAGTGTAAACATTACATAGCACATTTTACCTTTTGAATTAAGTTTTTCTTTTGTTATAGGTAAATTAGTGACAAAGCAATTTAAGAAACCCTTTTCGTTTCATCATATGCTCTTGTCTATATTTTGAAATCCAAACAGGGAGCAATCATTATTGTGTTGACCATATACCACTGTACCACTAAGTGCAGGAATCACTGACATTCTGAGAAAAGGAGAATGGCTCAGTTCTAGGAGGCATTGCTGTTGTACCAAGGAACAAGGTGCTTCACTTAAATTGTACTGCTCCAGTAAATTGTCAAGCTGTTTAAATGGGTACTGATGTAGATATCTTTAGTTAAAGGCATCAGCCGCATAAATTAATAATTAAAAGTAAGACTGAGTTCTAAGAAATCATATTTTAAAGTCAGAAGCAGTCAAAATGGGAGGCTTTATCACATTACCCATTCTAGATCTGCTGCCATGTATATTAGCATACTGAAGTAACATAATCACATCCCTTTAAAAACATTATCCTTTTTAAGTGATAATTTAAACATGTTAAATTAGCAGATTAGACTATTGTTTGAGATACAGTACTATTATTTTAATAAATAATATTAAACATTTTTCTGACATGCAAAAGGGGTAAATGTGTCATGTTTCATATACTTTACAGCTTTAAATGGGAATTAACTTGATATTATTCATGTATTGTTGGTGACTTCTGTAACCCTATAACTACAGTGTGGCCATATGTTCTTGTGATGTCCCTTGTGTATGAATGTGTAGAGTTCTAAAAGAAATGGATTCCTTTCTACTTATGCTCTACGTGTTCCATATTTTTCAGTTTTAGCTCTGAATGAAAGGTCACAGTAATTTTTAAAAAGCATAGATTCTCATGTTTGTGAGAATCAACACTTAAAAGGCCACCCTCCTTCAGTGTTTTAGAGCTATTGCCATCTAGGGATGTATTTCACGTAACCCGACTTCAGCTCACTGTCTTGCTCATGAAACTCCAATTCAAAGTCTGCTGCTAAAAGGAAGATAAGTGTAACTTTCACATAACCCAGTGTTATACATCACCATTCATGATGCAGATTTTTTGAAACAGTGCATCCAAGTGATCCATAAAAGTACATTAGATTCTTTGATGGCCTGACCTAATGCTCAGAAGAGATTTAGTCTTGTCAAATATTGATCAGGACTGGGATTTCTTCACAGTGCAGAGAGCTCACAGTCCCAACAGTTTCAGCCCTTCAGGGTCCACCGATGTTTTCTCCTTTATTTAAAATCACTTTACAATGCACCAGATACAACTTTTAAAGTCAGATCTCAGACTTCTAAGACTTTATCTTGCTTTAACTTAATGCGCAGTGGAGTGCCTTGGGCTCTGCAGTTGTTATTGTATGCAATAGTATGAGGTACAGTATGAATAGCGGTGAAATACAAATGTAGTCATCATTTTTTTCCCCTTTAAAATCTTTCTCAGTGGTATTGTTTAGATTTCTCAGTTTCTTTTCTTTTTTCTGCTGTATATGATATGCAAGACCTGTTGTACACAGTATTTTCACTCTCAAAAAAGAATGTTGCTATAGGACCTGGGAAAAGCTCCTACCATGATTTCAGATTCACTAAAACGAAGTAAATTACTGTTAATAATTTGGTTTTAATTTGGTAAGTGCATTTAGGAATGTGTACCAGAAAAGCAATGATATACTCAACTTTACCAAAAGCACTGTTCATACAAAAAATAATTTTGGTCATCCTTTAAAAATTCTGTCAAGTTTTCATTGTCCTTTTTATGACCAGCAGTCATTCTAGATGCCAGGAGTCACATTAACTAATGAACTGTAAGAGATACATCATAAAAATTGCTGTTTAATAGAACCGTACGCGTTTTATAAAAATATTTTCTGCCACTTTCATCCTGTTTTTGCATTCTTTATCTTTTAGAGTTAGATTCTAAAATTGTAAATGTTGTTTACAGGATGTCATTTGCTTGATAAATCACAGTTGAAAAATTAAGGTTTGTTCTTCCACCTCCCTTGAAGGATTTCCCCCCTTCTTTACATATGAAGATAAATCTGTTTCATTCACGTTTGTTTTTTGTGTGTTTTTGTTTCTAATTTTCATTTCCTCGTTTTTTCTGCTTGGAAGCCATCACATAACTGAGGAGGTCTGAAGATTGATGAATGTGTTCTGATCTAGTCAGGTCCTCTGTACATCTAATGAACCTAATTAGCAGAACACCTGACACATCACATGATGTGCTCATTTAGCTTAGAGCACCACTGGGGAGTTCTGCAGAGGTTCTGTTGACAGGAATAGGGAGCTAATGGCTTTTTTGCTTGATTGGGACCTACTGTAGGTGAGGCGTGCACTTTAACACTTGAGCCGAGAAGCAGTGTTCATTGTGTAGTCGTAGTGGGCGGACATGACATAAGTGCTATAGTAGGTGTACAGACAAGGAAGAAGTGCATTCAGCATTTGAAGTACAGAGGGCTTCACACAGAGGTGTTTTAGAGGGAACAGGAAGGTTGAAAGTTAAACCGCTAAAGCTCAGTAATTAAAAAAGGTCACAAAAAAAATTGTGCATTTTCCACTTTCCATTATTTCAAGTAATCCTTTGGTAAAACTCCCAGCCTTTAATTGCCCCTCTGGCTAGGATGTCTCACAGAATAGTGTGTTTCATCAAGGCTTCTTTTTTCTGACTTGTCCCTTGTCAGAGCACTTGACAGATATTAACAAACCCTCTCATGGGTGATGGGACTGAAAAAGAATAAGTGATAAATTCAGTTAATCTCTGTTAGGATTACTCTCCACCTGGGATTTAGGTAAATGGAATCGAAGTCCTGGCTAGTGACAATGAATATCTATTAGGCAGTAAACAAAGTAATAGGCACTGTGGATGTTAATAAGCTGCACATCTTCCTAAAGAAACAGCACACAAACTAGGATCTTACTGGAGGATAAGGTTTTCAAGTAAAATCACTATTTATATCTTTTACTAGACTTGCATGATTTTTTTACTCACATATCTCTCAAGCTAAATCTCCTACTGGAAAGGTTTTACTCCTTTATTATTGTATTAAGTGTCTTAGGTTTCTCTTTGTCTCATACAGTATGTGTTTACAATTTTTGTGGGAGGTTTCCAAAACTTACAGTCCTTAAAATTTTGCAGCTTTTAAGGGAAAAATAGTTCAGTGATTATTGTAGTGCCTGGACTTTTTATGTAATTGGAACACTTCAATTTTAAGAAAGGAAAAGGCTTATATTTTTGCCCTGTTTGGCACAGTGTTACTGTAAACTTACCAAATTATTGATGAATTCTTATTCACACTGCAGCATGCCTTTGAGCATTGATCTGCAATTGCATTGTGGTTGTTTTCACTTTCCATTCCATATGTGTTTTTTTTTCTCGGCATGCCAATATCTGCTGTCTGCAATCTGTCCACAGTAATTTCACCCCTAAAATTAATCTTTAAAAATATAAACCACAATTAAAATACAATGGTGGCTATGCTAAGTAAAGAGTTTTTTTTCTTTCTCTCCATGAAATCATAAGCGTGAAACTAAAAAAATAAAACAGTAGCATGGTATGTGAAGATGTGTTATAAATTCTGTGCTTTGGGACACTCATGATTAGGCCTGGTTATATACACACAGAATATGAGTGCTATGTGTTGGGAAATATCCAGCTATCCCGTATCTCTGCTGACCAGCCATTTCGAGGTCAGATCTTCATTAGACTTATAGCAAATGATATAGAAGATTATTACTGCAATCAATAAACTCTAAATGAAGCAATGGGGAGATTAATTTATTGACTTTCTCAAGTACAGTGGCAGCTTTTGCACATTTAATTGTCTTCTGCAGCTAGACACATCTCACATTTCACTTCTTGCTCTGCAGTACAAAGAGACTCAAAATATCAGGTTTTAGTGCTGCAGAGATCATATGGGTATGTTTTAAACTCTTCAAAGCTTAATTAAAATATTATTTGGATTGTTCTGATAAGTTTTAGAAAAACAGTCATCATAGGCTTCTTGTATACTCATTGCTACATCATCTGAAAGCAAATAAAAATAATTATCCTTTGTTTTGGACACTATAGAGAGAACTAGGGAAGAACATTTCAAAAACATAAAAGATATTTCTTTTTATAAAAAAGACCAAATAATTGGTCTCATAAAAATGTAAATTAAGATGCATCCAATTTATCACTGCTGCATTTTGGTATGTGTCCTTGTGTAGATTTTTCTTAATGCATTTTTTCTGTGAAATCCCTTGTGGTGAAATACAAACTTTCAAGAAACAGTGCACATTGGGTCATTCCTTGTCAACTTAGCCAAGCATGTAAACCACATTGCTTTAATTTAATGAAACTTGGCATATAGTTAGTAAGTTTTGGGTTATGATGAAAAAATACAAATTCTTAGCTTTCAACAAGGTATGAAGTCTCAACTAAGGTCTCAATACTGCAGTTTAAAGTGTATATGAGGTCAAAAGTGGAGCAGAATCAACATTTTCCAATGGTTTAACAAAAATGTTCCCTTGAAGGGTAGTAATGATGAGAAAAGCAAACATCATAACCTGGTATTTTTTTTAGTCATTAAGTATATTTATTCTACAGGAAATTTCAGAGTAATTGAAAAAATAAAAAGTATAATGTTCATAACTTTATACCTCCAGATAGACTGGCTACATTCTGTACAAATCTCAGTAATGTACCATCAGTAAGTGCGTCATAGCCCCCAAAATTACTGAATGACCTTTGAAATCTATAGCAACCTTTAAATTCTCTGATGTTTTGTTTTTACCCTTGTCTAAGTTAGCAAGGAAGGACTTTTTTATACTTTTTTTTATACTAATAACATAGATTTTACTGTTTTGTCTGCAGGCTCTGGCAACAGAGATACTCAGGGATGTACAAGGCACAAAGGCCCAGCTTAGGAGAAGGAAGAAGAAGCCGTCAGCCACAGGAGGACTTTCTAAGGAGTCCATTTGCAGAGCTCAGTCTATCGCAGCATCCATTCTGAACATCTCTGAGGCAGATGTGGAGGACATGCTGAAAACAGACGATGAAGTAAGGGCAAAAAAACAAGGACTGGTTATGTTGTGTGGATTTAGATACTGCTATAGGGGGTTCCCAAATGACTCAATCAGGAAATCCGTTCATTTTTTGAGTGAAGGTTGAGAGCTACTGTATAGTCCACACATTTTATGTCTGTCCCATGCCATTAGCTGACCCTGACCTGAATTCTGACGTGACAATGCATGATTGGCAAACCCTAACAGAGTTGAATGATTGATCATGCCACCCAATGACAATACCTGTGAAGTGCCAGGCTCCTATGAGTTAGCACTGTAGCCTTCCCTCTTAAAAACAGTGCTTGCTGTCTTTGAGAACTGCGAGAACGTTTCTCACACTTTCCTACGTTTTTCACACTTTGACATGTCAGCATGGCTGTGACAGAGTGTATTTTAGAGAAAAAACCATACAGTCCTTCCCATGCAAGGATAAGGACCATAGCAGTTAAGATAATCGGATAACTATTTTTTAATTGGGGTATTGAAGGAAAAACATATTTTCAGAAAAAATAAAAAATAAAAGAGAACAGAAGAATAAAATAAAGGTTACAAATGACAAAAAGGTTTTTGGCTCATCTAGCTCTTTTGAATATTAGTAGTTGAGTGATTTGAAGATCTCATCCATCTGAGTTTTGCAAGATGCCAGGCTATCAGCTTCAGCAACATGGCTGCTTAACATGGCTGCTTAATCTTCAAGTGAAGGGCTCAGATGACAGGGGAGATATACAGTATTTGTACAGTCAACAAGACATACTGTACCTTTCTGCTAGCCATTCCAAAGCAAATTAATACATATTGCACATATAAACACAAGTGAAATCTTTAACTATTCACAAACCTTTATTTTAGAACTAAGGGAGAGTATTTGGCAAGGAAGTTTTATGAATAAAAAATAAAATAATAGAGAATAAAGGTGAAAGTGTGTGGTGTGTTAGCAAAAATAAGTCATGCTAAAAACTAAATTTGTTCTGTTTGAACTAGACATTTGGTTGATGGATAAATAATGGGCTAACAGACTGTGGTGTGTGCTTATTGTCCCCCTGTCTTTCATAGCTTTTTGCACACACTTAACATAAATATGAGAGTAATCCATGTTGGATAACAAAGACTTGATTCCAGAAAAAGAAAAAGTCAGACTCACTACCAGATGATTTGCAAAGAGAATTGTGAAAATTAACTATCTCATTTGTATTCATGCAAAAGGCTTAAAATGACTATAAATGTGTATAATTTAATGTCCAGTTTGTAGATGTTATTAACATAAATAATTAACATTAATATTTTATATAATATTTACCCAGATTTAGAGAATATATATTTATTTACTCTAACATGGAGAAACACAAAGGGAAATTCAGTCATTTCCTGTCATACTGTATTACTATAAATGGAAAACATAAACCTGTTACATTCATATTAAAAATGTTACATTCATTCAGTGTTATGTAAACCTTCTTTATTACCATTTACCATATCTCATGATACCATATCTTTATCTTAATAAGCATCTAATTATGCATAAGCATTGTAATTTCTGGGAACATACAGTAATTTTCATAGATTTGTAGATTTGTAATCGCTACTGTTAATGGGCTAACGACTGAACCATCAACATGATCAGCTTAATTGTAGGGTTTAAATGTACACATTGACATCTGTGTGCAGCAGGACAGAACTGCGGCAGAAGTGAAATCCTCAGACAATGTTTGCAGATGGTCACATGCACAGAGGCGTACAGATGTTTGAAAAAATACATTTTAATGGAGAATGATGTAACTGAGCTTATTTAATTTTCTGGGGAAATCTGCCCTTATGTAACATAGGTACCTGTGTGAGTTAAAATAAAGTATATTGATTGACACAGATCTCTCATTTTCAATATTTCTACCTACAGTAGAATATAGCACATATTAAAAATAGTTATTCTGGTACTTGTGCTTCCCCTAATCTGTACATTATTGCACCCCCCTAACAGTGGACAAGGGATCAGAAGCAACTTGAATGAAAAAATGCATTTTCTAATTGAAGCTTCCATGCAGGATGTGTGCATAAGGATTCAGTGAATAAGCAACTGAATTCAGCTAAATGTTGTAGAACCTCAGTGTTCATGCATGTTACCTGTTGTAGACATATACATTTGGGAAATAAAGGCTGCCTTTGCATAACTATTATAGCCCTTTTACATGCCTCGGCCTTTTATGTAAGCTGCCATTGACACCATGTGTTCTGTGTTTGAAGTTTGGTAATTATTGTGACTACGTCTGCACAGAGTGACATTCCAAAGCTTTTTTTAATCTGTTTTAACATACAATCAATTTGAATTCACCTTATGCTCTATCTGTCCTTCAGGTTGAACCTGAAGTGGATCAAACTGCTATAAAAATGTACATTCCCTTGTAAATGTTAAGAGATTTTCCACATTTGGGATTGACTTGGGAGAAGAAATAGGACAATAGGCTGAGGAAAAAAGACTGTGACTGCAGAACAAATTGCAGCATAGCCATGTTATATAGGATCTTTATTATAACTGATTTCTAGGTTCTGGGAACTAAAGTTTTGCTTGCAAAACTAAATGGATTCCGAAGATGTCCAAGCACTTTAAGGGGAAAATTAGGATTAAAACAAAGATAAAACAATAATTATCCTAGTTATAATTCACTAAATTTCAAGTTTTCTGTTGTTTAGCATAATTTACAAAATGAAGCATTTTTGATACAGTCCTGATTGGACATTACATTTAAAAATATCTAAATAAAATTCCATATTTTGTATAGCTGTTTTAAAGCACCTCTATCTCTGAATTCAGGATGAGTTGTGCATTGAGTAAGGAATGTTTTAAAATTAGCATTTAAAAATAAATTAAACATTTCAGCATTCAACCACCATACCTGTCAAATAAAAGTAATTTTTTTTTTATGAATACAGTAGGAAAATCAATGAAGGTGATACTGAGGATAATCTCATGATATATTGCTTGCCATAAATATTCCTCAAGTCCTCCAGGAAAGAGGAGAAGGACCTGATGATATCATTAAAAAGCATTATCTTGCTGTCGAGTCTTTTTGTTCTGGGGACAATGTCAAAACACAGGGCCAAGGCTCTGAGAATTGAACTGATATTAAATCAGGTCTGTTGAAAAATAGATCTTTTTTTTTCCTGTCCAAGATTATGCACACAGTCTCAAACGACAGCTTGTTTAAAGTTAATGATCCATTTGTAATAAGCCTATAATTGCTAAGCCGTGTTTGTTTTCCAATGGGTGCCTAGTGAGAATTGGAGGGTCAGTGCATTGTTATGCATCCTTGGAGGGACACAGGCTGGGTCTACTCCCCAGAGGAGTTGTACAGACAGAAATTCAGAGAGGAATGGAGCACAATATGGCAGCCCCCTTGGCTGATGATAATGAGCATGAACTACAAGCAGCAAGCATGGAAATTAGGAGAGGTCTGCTAATACACTGACCTACACAGGATTAGAGTCAAGGAGGCTGAAACACACAATAGGTACCAAACTTGATTTTTAGTCCTTCGGGAACAAGCCAGCACATAGCATCATTTGTAAATGCGGCATGTGAGGTTAAAATGCTCAGAGCGAATGGAAATGCACAGCGCTGATGCCTCACGATCAGATGGGAGACACTGAAATTAGAGAAATCTATATACGGTGTAATAAAGGGTAGTAAAGGATTTTATATTTATAAGTATTTAGTTTTGAACCCTTATCCATCACCCTTCCACTCCCAATAACCTTAAAATTAAAAATTTTTCATAATTATTTAATAATTTGTGATGTTTTAACAAAAAGCTGAAAGTTCTTCAACAGACCTGCGTGCATCAAAGTGATTTTCTTATCCACTTTTATCATTTTATTAACAGGAAACTGAAGAGGCCAAAATAGAAAGAAGAAAAGACCAGGACTGGCTGGATCATATTGCAAACATCCTCCAGCAGCAGGTACTGATGTGGAATTTCAGTGTGATCTTGCTGATGCTAAAGCGATCTTTTTTTAAAAAAACACCATATGTTACTGATGTGCAGATATTTATTCACTTCAGAAGCAAAAAGGACTATGGTATAATTCTTGCCGTGCCATTTTTTAAATATGATACCATAATTTACAATATAAAAACAAATTAGCACAAAAAAGGTTTCCCCTAGATAGGTAGGAATAAAAACTGAAAATGCTTTTTTCTCCTTTTCTCACAAAGATATTAGAACAGGGTAAAAGATTCAAATGCAGATTGTATCTCTTAGGTTCTTAAACACTGTTCAGGTTAAATAAAGATGCTATACAGGGTTCTATTTTGTTACAACCAAGGTAACCATTCATTCTTGCACATTTTCAAGAGATATCCCCGAATAAAATCAAATGCTAAATGCTGGATGTTCTTGTGTGTACAGTATCTTCTGTAGGTTTTATGAAAGTAAGGATGAATAAAAGAGATTCCATTACATACAAAATGAGAATAGACTTAGTTTTAAGTGATGAAAGAAGTGCCTGATCCTCTGAAACAACATATACACGTCCAAAAGAAAAACGAAGGGAAAATAAGAGAACAGGAATGCTTTGTTATGTGTGAGTACTGGTGCTAGGTATTTCTGCACAGGACACCTGAGGAGCACTTCACAGATTTTGGTGACCTTTATCCACAGACCTGTATCCAGTCAATTCATGTTTTCCTCACAGCCGGACAGCTGATAGCTGTTCTGCCATCCTGTATTCTACACAATATTTTCTACTGAGACCGCGAGAAGCTTGTTAGTGGGAACTAAATATTGATTTGGCGTCCTGTCGATGCAGGAAGAATGAAAAAATGTCCACCAGAGACCCTCTCAAACATATTCCTATCGACATTTTCTGGGCAGAGTGGAAGGCTGCTCAGCGGATGACAAGACTGAGACTAGCTCCAATCCCAGAGGAGTCCATTGAGACTGCTGTGGTGACCTGTGTGATACTTTTTCTTCTCTTTCAAGTTTTTTTTCCCCTTTTCTTAATAAACAGACAGTCTGCAGGGACCATGCCGCTCTTGTAAGTGATCAAGGGCAGTTTATTGGCAGGTGAGATTTTTGTGGAAGAGAGAGGGAGAGAGTGAGTGCAGGCCCTGTATGTGTGCATCTGGTCTTCCTCTTCCTCTGATTTTTTGTTGAAAATATAATATGAGAAGGCTTTGAAAGCTGTATGGTTGTTTAAAAAAGGATCAAAATGCTGTTCTTATTACAAAAAAATCAAAATTTTCAGGAAATCTTCCAATATTGATTGATGTCTAGTGTGGTTTACCATACCCCCCACACAAATTAACCCTTTTTCTGTTTCTAAAAAATAAATATGCTGTTATTAAACAAACATTGTTGTTTCCCTGTTGACACTGGTGCACTGATGATCCATTTCAAGTAAATAGAGTGAAGCAATATCTCAAATATTCATGTACATGTGGAACAAAATGATAACAAAACACATCAGAAGAGAGAAACAGAGAAAATGAGAAAGAAAGGCGTAGCCGGAGTGATGTTTTGATGTTGAAGAATGATTTGGTAGCTTTACAAAAAGGAAAAGAAAATTCCAAGTCTTAATGTGATACGTACATGACCAAAAAACAGAAGACAGAGAAGAAAAATTTTATACATACAGTCATGTATGATCGTGACTGGATGTAATCTTCTGTAAGCGTACCAAATAGCAAGAGAGCGCTGTGAATTTATTACCTTATTGTTATCCTCTTAGAATGATGATTTACTAAGTAAAAGTATTAATTCTGCACTTAAGTTGGAATTTTGTTTGTAATCGTATAAAAGCCAGTATGTATACATTTTAACATTTGTTTGCTGCAAATATTTTATTAATTTTAAATATAAGAATGTGAAGGTCAAACGGCTTTGTGCAGCCCTTTGCAACTATAATAATTGCCTTGTACTTTCTAGACTTTTAGCTTTGCTGTGATTAACTGTACTCTTTGAACTGCCATTTTGGCCCGTAAATGCTAAGCTCATTATTATGAGCATCATTATGAGAAAAAATAGTGTTATTAAGAGCACAGAGATGACTTCATGACATGCTGTGTGGATTATGCCAGTTACTGCAAAATGTGCTACGCAGGGCTTGTGTGGTAACAGTAATCCAAAGGAAGACTGCACTTGGACAGGATATTGAATTATCCATCTATAATAATGTGATTGTTTGAAGGATTTCAGAGACACCATGAAAGTTTGTTCTAAGTAGAAAAATTTAGTTTGTATCTTTACTCAGGAAAAATCTGTCTAAATTATATTGAAGCATGGTGTGCTGAAGCAAGTGTAGAGTGGTTAGAACTCTGAACTGGAGAGTCATGGGTTCAGATCGTGGATCGGGACACTTTTGTTATACCTTTGAGGAAAGTAGTTCACTCAGATTCCACCGGTGAAGTGCTCAGCTGTATAAATGAGTGCAAACATCCCTTTTGATGAAAGCATCAGCCAAAATACAGTAATAGTACTTACATCGTTAGTTTTGTATAATTTGGGTTGTTTGTCCACTTCATTATATATTAAAGTGTAAATGGCCACCACAGTCACGAAGATGTCTTTGACTGCTTGATAAAAGCAAAGCCAACCAAAATTTCTTTCTTCTTTTCGATAAAGATTTTACATTCTTTTATTTTAAAAAAATATCGCTGCTCTTCACAATGTTATTAAGTTCAGCAAAACATCTGTTCACATTTCATGCTTGCTTGTATATCCAAAAGTGGTTGTCTGCAGATGTTGAACCAAAAAAAAAAAGCTGTGGTATAGACTTTGATCAGCTTATCTACTGTGTTACTAGATGTACTTTGTGGAGCACGCCAACCCTTAGCACTGACATCCAAGTGGCTGGATATGTGACCTTAATATTGCTTACACTGGCCTGGTGTATGTACAAAACACTGTACAGGGTTACAAAACCTTCTAATTCACTTTGTGTAGCTTAACTATATTAATGTAAGATACTGAAGGATGCTGAAGAAGTATAATTAAAATATCATGTTGAGTTGGATTTGAATCAGAATTTTAAGATTTCTGCACTACGGAGAAAACATTTCAGTTTGCAGTCTGCACATTTGATTTGGACTACTGATTCTAACGTATCTGTCTTCAATTATATTACTGTAGGTATAGCTGAAAGGAGAACTGTTTAAGTGGTATTGGTCTACTAGCATAGAAAAATGTTAGTGTTTGTTCTAAGAACTTTCTTATAATTGTTTAGAAACTAGAATCAAAAGGATGTTATATTTTCCTTTATTAGAAAAGAATTGAGGATTTTCAAGTGCATTTTTTCTCTTCTGCATGTGTAAAGTCTGTGGTTATTTCGGGTTAAAGCTGGAATGTAACAATGGAGCACTTCAAGTGAATTCTGGGCTGTCCTGCTCATAAATGGACAGTGGAACAGCTAACTAGGACAGCACCATATTGAGTGTCTTCGTAAACACAGCATAGTGGGAGCCAATGAATTAAAAACCTTATAGGGTTTTTATGTTTTGAGCTAGTAAATCATTTCACACTACGATTGTAAACAACAAGTTTTTTTCTAATTACAAATGTATGTTTAATGTCAATACTGTGTGGGTGTCTCTTATTATTTTACGTTACAGTATGTTACTAGACAAAAGTCTCTATTTGAATATGTATTTATTCATCATGAAGCTGACTGTTGGAAAACAGTGTGCCATTTATTAAGCTGTGTACTAATTTAAAATACTCTTTTCAATTATTAATTGTTGTGGAGAAAATCATCTTGCAAAAACTGTACATGCTACAATTTTTTAAATGAAGCAAAAGATAATCATATGAACCAAACCAGATGATGGCTCCGTTTTTTTGTTATTTTGTTCTGAGTTAGTTCTCAGACCATACACATGTGGCATTTAGCACATAAAGGATATTAACATGAGCTTTTTCACATTTTTAATATTTATGCAGAAAGAATATTGTGCCAATGTGGCTTATTAATTTTATTAATAATATTGGTTTCAATTTTGTGGACATACTGTAGTATTAAATTCACAATAGGGTGGCATTTTATGAAAGTGTGTTAATATTAAGGGGGCAGAAGTGTTAATACAGAAGAAGAAGTGTTAATACAGAAGAAGACTATTGGCAATAGTTAAGTATGCCCATTGGCCTGACTACAAGCAATTTATAAAAGTTAAATAATAACACACCCCACTGGTTAAGGAATACTCAGACAAGTCAGGTGGTCTAAGTATCCTCTGTGTCCAATATCTGATCAGTTTTGGTCCATAAGGGGGGAATCCGGTGGTAAGGACAGGCTGTAAAGCCGAGGTCTGTTCTTTACAATTCTCCTCTTGTGCTTTAAACTGAAGCTGAAACTTTAAGCTGAAATTGTCTTCTAGGTACTGTACAATAGACGTCACTGAGTTTGTAGGCTCTTTGTATAATCAAATGCTATGATTTACTAAACACTTTCAAAAAAGATACCTTTCCCTCTGCAGTCAGAGTGACTGTACAATAAAATTCACCATTCCATCCCATTCACATTTATATAAGATCTAGAACACGAATATCATGTACAGTCTTTTCTAGATAACTACAGGCCTTAGTTTTCAGCAGTGCTCTAAGACTCTCAATACGTTGTCACTAGAAGTCTCTTGAGCCATTGTCACTGTCAGCTGTTAGTGAACTAGCCTCAGTAACAAAGCTCCATTACTGGAATGGCAGTGTCAATATCAAACCTATTAGTCACCAGGTTGCCTCTTCTGTCCTAACTGCCAGCAGGGCTGAGATGTTAAACAATGTACGTGCTACAGTGTTGTAGACAGATAACAGGCAGCTTTAGTAACCTGTGTTTGCCTAAAGTGTGCTCTGTGAGATTCTTTGTCAAACCTACCATTTCATTCTGTTAAATCAGTTTTGAATTCATGTTTGTAGCAGCATGTATTCTATCAGATTGAGATTTGAAGATTGTGATGGCCAAACAGCATTGA